AAGTGGTACTATAAAGCGACAAAATTTCATCCATACAACAAAAATGCCCTTAAGTATCACCCTAGTGATCATAAACAACACCCCACGATTATGATGTCCCCGGTTATTCAGTCATGTCGCAATGAACATCGAACTTTTAAACCTTTGTAATGGTTTAAATGGCTGTCTATGTTACACTTTCATCTTGGATGTTATTTATAGAGCCTTTCTTTAATACAGTTTATAGCACTACCATTCAGCCAGGACAGAATTATCTTTTTCTGCATATTGCGACTGTTATGTTGTCTGCCACCATTTGGTTAGAACATAGCTGTACCTGCTACTCACTCGTCTAATTGGAAAGGTAAAATGGCCAATGATTCGGCAGAAAGTTGAATCCTCATTTTTGCACTGTGAGCGTGGCACTCCTGTCAACTGAGCTAACTCGGATAAACGGAGCATTTGCAATTTTTATGCAAACCAGGGAAGGTCACTGTTCATATCTTTTGGTTCTGAACGCTTGGTTAAGCTCGACCTGCCTCTAATTTTGTTTTACATGCCTTCCTGTGACTGTTGACTTATCAACCTCATTTTGGTCTTAAGAGGTCTTTAGACATGACGGTCAGAGACACAAAGATGAAAAGACTAAATTTTACTTTAAAGCTTTAAAAGGTTTTATTGCCTCATTTTCGTGCGTTATGAAATCAAATCAGAACATGCTTTGTTTTGAAGACTTCTTCGAATAAGTGGGAAGGAATATCAGAAGTCATTTTGCATTCCAGAAGTCTTATACTTAGTTGTTCTTTGCTTCTTAGGACTTAATGAGATTCGCACCTTGCCTGACATTCATCAAGTGATTTTTATGACCAAATTATTTTCAGTTACATTAGTCAAGACATAAGATTCCATTCAAACGCTTAATCACTTGTTCTTCGAATCTTTCCTGTGGTCTCAAATTATGTATGTAATTCCACGCATCGCTATATTTAGGGTATATGCTGTATATATACAACGATGGTGTCAAAATTCAATGTCCTTCATGCTAAAACTGGAAAAAGACGCAAAAAGACTCGTGACGTTGAAATGAATCTTGAAAAGGGGGGAGGGTGACCTTTCGCTTGGCTGGTATTATTAATCGTTTGTTTCCTTTGCTTCCAATGTTTCACTGATTCAGGAATAATTAATTATTACATAAGGACACCGCTTTCAATAAATTAATGGTCATGTAGATGATTATACTTTTTTGGCTAAATTGGTGTTAAGCTATCCTTTCTTTCACTTAGAAGCATGTTTTGCTTTGCAAGAAATGCCATTGTTATCATATAGTTTTATGTAATTAGCGTCAGAATTTGTCGCTATGCCATCCAAGGATCCCTGATACAACATTCAGCTACTAGTGCGACTGCCGTCACACTCTTATGCTCTGATGCATTTCTATACGTCCTAAGGGGACTACCTCGGAAAGACTGATGTCTCTTTTCCTTTTGGAAGAAGGGTGAGTTCATTCATTCAATAGCCATCAGTGTTTTGCTTCGCCTTTTACGATTATAAGTGTCCACTGATCTCGCAAACAACCGGTTGTTCATTTGATGCCCTCAAAACGGATAATGTGATTGTT